TCAACAAAAATCAATATAAAAAAAATTACCCACACAGTATTCTACAGGTTACTTGTTTATTGACAAGTACTGGTGACCTGTAGATCAGGGCAACCCTCAATTAGACACTTCCAAGCTGACTGCGTTTATGGGAATATTATTATATTTCATACATGTGGTTTCAACAAATTAAACAATATTTTTTTTTTTATCTTTGTAACACTTTTTCGTGGAGAAATTTACCTAAACGCTAACATTGTTGTCTATGGAGTTCTAATTAGTAGTATGAAACCTTCAGGCAGCAAATTGATTCGCTGCACGTTCCGAGTTTCGGTCCCGACACTCTGTTGAAGTTGGAAATAGGTGGCGAAGGTCATTGACAAAAAGAACAGTCCGTTATACCGCAATCTGATTAAAAAAGATCCTGTTTGGCTTAATTGTTTAATTTAATTTTAATATAATATATTTTCATTATTAATTTTAATTATAATTATTTATTTTAATATTTGTTTTTACAATAAATGTGCTGCACTGGTGGCTTTCACAAACAAAACAATTATTGCAGCAAAATAATTGTAACGTCAACAAAATAATTAAAATTATATTATATTATATTATAGAAATTATATTAAAAAAAATAATAAACAAAATTAAGCATACCAGGATCTCATTTTAATCAGATTGATTATACAGAAGGGGTACATATTTTTAAATAGTGTATTTTTGCTGCTTTCAACGGTTATACTGGCGTTCACGGGTGTGTTTAGTCTCGATTTCAAATTCCGTCATCTGTTGCAGAAATGTGCAAATTTCAATCTTAGGCACTAAATGATAGAAGTGATTGCAAACCATTTAAATAATAAGTTCTAAATGTCATGTAGTCATTCAATCTAATAAATAGATCACATTTTCAAAGATATCCCACACGAGGTAAATTATTAAGTCATTTCATTGTGACGAGCACATTGCTTCAAAATCGTATTAGTTTAAAGGCGAGCACTGCCTAGTATACATAAAGTATATATAAAGACGGGACAACGATATGCTAATTAAAACCAGTCAGCTGAGATAGCAACGCTGTTAGCAATGCACATTTCAATTAAAGAACAGAAGATATCATTAGAAAATGAACAATATGTATAGTATTAAAACAATGGGACTTGCTGTTTTCAACAAGAATTCAAAAATATCACTTTTCACCAAAAATGACAAAAACTATCATCAACATTAGATAATTGAAGATATCATCACGAAATTAACAAATCTGAAAGATGTCCACATGTAGTACCTATATATGTAATATCAAAGCAATTGGACTTGTAGTTTTTAACAAGAAGTCGAAAATATCACTTTTTACCAAAAATGACAAAAATATTCATCAAATTTAGAGAATTGAAGATATCATCACGAAATTAACAAATCTGAGAGAGGTCCACATGTAGTACCTATATATGTAATATCAAAGCAATTGGACTTGTAGTTTTTAACAAGAAGTCGAAAATATCACTTTTTACCAAAAATGACAAAAATATTCATCAAATTTAGAGAATTAAAGATATCATCACGAAATTAACAAATCTGAAAGAGGTCCACATGTAGTACCTATATATGTAATATCAAAGCAATTGGACTTGTAGTTTTTAACAAGAAGTCGAAAATATCACTTTTCACCAAAAATGACAAAAACTATCATCAACATTAGATAATTGAAGATATCATCACGAAATTAACAAATCTGAAAGAGGTCCACATGTAGTACCTATATATGTAATATCAAAGCAATTGGACTTGTAGTTTTTAACAAGAAGTCGAAAATATCACTTTTTACCAAAAATGACAAAAATATTCATCAAATTTAGAGAATTGAAGATATCATCATGAAATGAACAAATCTGGGATTGGTCCAAATGCAGTACCTATATATGTAATATCAAAGCAATTGGACTTGTAGTTTTTAACAAGAAGTCGTAAATATCACTTTTTACCAAAAATGACAAAAATATTCACCAAAATTAGAGAATTGAAGATATCATTAAAAATGAACAATTCTGAGAAAGGTCCACATGTAGTACATATATATGTAATATCAAAGCAATTGGACTTGCGGTTTTTAACAAGAAGTCGAAAATATCACTTTTTACCAAAAATGACAAAAATATTCACCAAAATTAGAGAATTAAAGATATCATTAAAAAATGAACAAATCTGAGAGTGGTCCACATGTAGTACCTATATATGTAATATCAAAGCAATTGCACTTGCGGTTTTTAACAAGAAGTCGAAAATATCCCTTTTACCAAAAATTACAAAAATATTCACCAAAATTAGAGAATTAATAATATCATTACAAAATGAACAAATCTGCGAGAGGTCCACATGTAGTACCTATACATGTAATATCAAAGCATTCAGGCTTGTAGTTTTCAAGAAGAAGTCGAAAAAGTAAAACTTTGACACGGACGACGGACGACGACGGACAATCACGTGACTCATATGATAAGCTCCGCTCGACAAAGTCGACAGTGGAGCTAATAAACCGATACATTTACCAGACTTGCATGCTGCTCGCCTTACGCACAGTATAGCGTTATAAATTATTACTCTATAACCAACAGGAGACATACCTTCTGTATCTCTTTAATGGCGACCTGCTTGTCAGTGCTTTCTACGTTCACTAACGATACTTTGCCGAATTTCCCCTGACCAACTCTCTTTACTCTACTATAATCATCCGTTGCTGATCCGACGATGCACAGAATTGTATAAAATAATGGCCACTTATTTCTGTTGGTATTTAAACAACTAATTACCTGTACTATTATTTAGTAGGAATATATTGTAAAAAGAAAATATCTCTGACGTTATCGATAAGGGCGATGACGTGTACTTTAACCGTATATAAAAAAGAACAACAATAGAATTAAATTCAATCACATATATATTGCACAATTTATATAAATAAGTTACATACAATGATATGTCGTATAATAAATTAAACAGCCATTCTTTGGGGTGGATAAGGTGGCCTTAGGTCACCATAGGATTCTCTTTGTGATAGCATTGCCAACACAACCTGCATATTTAGGATAATTCTTTGAGTTTAGGAAACATCGGCGAGTCAAATCGCGAAATACATTGTAACTCTTCAAGCAGCATTTTACGATACAAGACAAGAACAGAGGTATAACAAATATATTGCACACATGCTATGTGTATGATCACGGTTAGTCCGGATACAGGTCGCACGGCCGCCGCAACTCGTTCCCTTTCTCATGAATCCATTTGTTAGCAACTGTGAAAGAAAGAAAAACATAGTTGAACTCTGGTGACCTTGCCCTTTGTTATCTAATATAATTCCCTTTATCATAGTTTGTTTCAATATAAATATGCATTGTCATAATTAATTTTGAATACAAACAAGTTTTGGGGTTGAACCAACAGTGGGGAATCAGTCTACCGAATGTCCTTAAAAGATGTAAATATCTTACAAAAACATTGGTGCCTTATTTGTTTAATTATTTTAAGGAACATAATTTCCAGCTTTATTCAAAGTAATTCAGATATTTTAGAATAAAAACAAATGTCTCATTGCAAAAAAAAAAAGTGCTGCATTTTGATGTGAATAGATTCATAAAACATGCAAGATAACAGAAACATTTAGCAGGCTTTAGTCCAAGTATTTTGTACAGGTGTCTGCCAAAAATTAATGATTCACTGAGACAAATATGACAAATATGACAAATATGACAAATTGTGTGACTACTGTATTATATGAAAAGTACAAAAAAAACACCCTTTATGAATAGCTATCATGTTGCAAGCTCTGCTTTGTATGCAAATCAACTTAAATAGTTGGTGTCCAGTGGAGGGAGAAGTCAACAGTACTGTTGCCTCCTGAGATTCTACATCTTCAAACACTGCAATCTTTGAAGTGCGTTTTTAAACTAGTATTATAAAAACTCTATCATTCTGTTCTAATAGCTGAAACATATTCCTGTGAGTTTTCATTTGTCGAATGAACTGTTTGTCAAATACAGAATACATATATTTTAGAATAATTTTCTTTTTAAAATGTGGATGAAATGTTTTGCTTTTAATGTATTATTTATGTATTGTTTTTGATTTGATAACTTTGAACTAAACAGATTTTCTTTTAGCTTCAGATCTTGATCAAAGTTAGGCACCCAGTTCATAGGAGTGCTTATATTGATTTTCTGACATCTTGTTTTCTGTAAAGATTTCATTGGTAAGTTTGCAAATGTGTATCAGACTGTGCAATCTCTCCATGAGTTGGTTTTGAAACCCAGTAGGGATTCTGA